GAATATTCATGAATATGATGATTGTGATCACCAGTCATTTGTAATGTGATCATAATTAACAGTTTTATAATATCCCAATTTCTTCAATTATTATCTTTTGATCATGGTCTTTAATAGTTGTTGGAGTAAATGTTGTAATAATTGAATTATCACTATCTGTATCAGAAGAATCTTGTGATGATGTTTTGTCAAATTGATGATTACAATTTTGATTTTTGTCATTTTGACTTATTATTGAATGACCATTTTCTAGAATATTGTGTGAAAATATATTATCAGGGTCAATAGGAAGCATTTTCTATAAATAATAAAAAATAGATTAATATATAGATAATAATAATTATAACAGAATTTAACGGAATACATTTTTAGAGTATTTTTAGGCTTTAAAAAAATTTACCAATTATATTTTATTGATAATTAAAGAAAAATATTTTTTAAAAAAAAATGAATAAATTTTTTAAGGAATATTTATTAGATTATTTTATTTTATCTGATATGTCATCATTATTTAATTATTATTTATTATTGATCTTTAAAAAAATTAATCAAAATAAAAATAATGGGAAGTTCCATATCTATTTTTATAGTAACATTTATTTATAACCTATGGATTGAAAGCGTGGTTAATATGCAAATCAGTTTTATTGCAGTATTACCGTAAAATAGCACCCTCTTTTTACAGCCGTGTAACAGAAGTAGGAGTGCTATCTTTTGAGACTTTACGGTAATATACAGTATAACCCTTGTTTCATAAGAAAATTTTATTTAAAATCCGTTGAAACGAAATTACTAATTATAATAATAATTGTAATCGCATTTTTATATGTTTTCATAATAAGTCCGTTGTTGAAACAAAGGTTATACTGTATATCAAAATCGATCTACCAATTAAAGCATATAAAATTATTCGTTATAAAAAAAACTTTATAAGGTGGCTTGCTTTAGAGAAGCATTTTGTCTCCTTATAATTTGATGTTGTAGGTCTCTCGATCCTGATATTGTTGAGCTATTTATTTTTATATCAGAATTTTGTTGAAAATAGTTAGATTTTGAATACTATCCAAAGCAACTGTATATGGTATTGGTGATGTATTCATGGTTTCTTCTTCTTCTCCTGGTACCTCTTGTACTGCAGCAACTATCTCAATCATTTTGGAGATTTCTATTCTAGAGTCAATGTTGATATAGTTGCTTGCTGTGGTGATATCATTAACATTCATTTGATTAATAAGTGTTTGGATTGCATTTTCTTCATATTCTAATTCATCTGGTCCTCCTTCGAAAATTTCTTCATCATTTTCTTCAATCATTCCCTCATTAGGTAGAATACCTGTTCATTGCCAACAATGGTATATTGTATCATCAGTTTACATTACCCCAAGATTGTGCAGTCCAATTAGTTGCATTCAAAATATTTAATTTAGGAATTTCAACACCAAGTTCTTGGTGCTCATCAAATGTTCAAATTCTACCTTGGCATAGTAATTTTCCATAATGAGCCTAATACAAAGATAAATTTTATTAAAAATAAATTTATATTTAATCACTAAAAAAAAAAGATGAATATTATAATTACTTTAAATGATCATATTATGTCTTGATCACTTGGCTGAAAATGAGAAGTTATGTTTGGTGGAAGAAAATGTAAGTTAATATTGCTCAACTCCTCACCTTCTTCCAATTGATGCGATGAGCATTATATACCAATAATAAAATGTTTCTTCACCTTTTTTGCATTTCTTGATTAAATGGGGCATGCTGCAACAAAACCAGACAAAGTGAACATTGGTATTACCAAGGATTTCAGGGATCAAAATTTAGTAATGTGATTATAATTTGTTATCTTAAGTGATATATAGAATTACCTCTATATAAAAATAGTTTAATATGAAACTCATTTATATCAGATCTGCTATGGAATCCAAGAATTATAGTACTATCAGAAGTATTTTGAAAAAGGAACAATGTGGAAAAATTGCTCCTTATATTTTTGAAATAAATGACACTCAAACACTGGAAACTTATCTAAGAAAAGAAGGTATTACTTATGAAATTTATCAAGAAGAAAGAAAGTTAATAAATATAAGAAAAGAAAGCAGGATGAGGATGTACAATTACAAAACAAAAGGCAGAATCTTATTGAACATCACTTATGATTGTTTCATATTGTTTCATGTAACATTTAATTTTGATTTTTAATTCATTTTCAAACTATTGATTAGTTTGTTTCATGATTTGTTCATTAAATTCAATGATAACTATGTCCATAATCTTCCAGATAGGTTGATAAGCTTCATATTTATATTTTTATCTAATTAGATTATGGTGTTATCAATCTATGTATTTTATTATATAAAGGACATTATTTAAGTAATAAAATAATAACTTGTATTTTTTACAATCATTAAAAATACCTGTTTGGAAACATACATTTTGATCCTCACAAAAGTAATTCTTACAACTGCAAAAGTGGTTACAATATACATGACTAGAGGCTGATCTTACACTATGGATGTGGTGTATGAAAAAAACTGAATTTCCAATACTTTCAAATTTGGTCAATAAATATCTTTCAATACCTACAACATCTGTGCCATCTGAAAGACTTTTTAGTGGTGTTGATAATCAAATAATTGCAAAAAGAATTATATTAAGTTCTGAAATCATTAATAAAATTTTATTTTTAAAAATAAATATTTTTCTTGACTAAACATGCAATGATTATTGATCCTTGATATTTAACAATTAAAAAAAAATTAACAGTTAACCACCAGTTAACTGAAAATTTTCATAGTTAATCAACTAAAAGAAATTATTGATTCTTTGCTCGCATTAATAATTTTTCCCATGAAAATTTTTTTTTAACTCAATAAATAATTATTTTTTCTGTCTTTTCCTTTTGATGGTACCAATCTCTAGTGTAGATGCACCTAAATCCTGATCAATGTTTATTTGTAAATTCTCTCTAGTTCTTTTTACTTTTGGTGTGTCTTCAATTAGGACTTTATATACAATTTTACCTTTTTTACCTTTGTTTAATGTTTTAATCATTGCAAGAACATCTGCCTGTTATATCAAAAATAATCAGATCATATAAGGAATTCAGAAAAAAGTATTTACTATTTATTAAATTAA